CTCAACACATAATACTAAATTGGTAATCTATAACTTTAGCATTACTAGAAAAATTATTTTTCCATCAAAGAGGAAAACATATTTTTTGAACGTAATACTAAATTGGTAATCTATAACTTTGCAGAGTAAGTCATGTAATGCCTTGACAATATCACCAGAGACTATGGGCTTCTCTGCCCTCAAATCTTCTGAAGTATCATTCTGAACTATGAATCACTCAGTCCTCACCAAAACCTTGAATAAATCTTCTGAACAAATTACTTTGCTGGAGATAAACACCGAGCAAATTTTCATTGTTGTGAGATAAGAGCATAGAGGCCACTAGTAACATGAATTGACGAGATGTTTGGATTACATCAAATGTCTTACTTACACTGTTACACATGGTTATAAAAATATTTTTTTATGTTATTGATTATTTTTACAATTATAAAATAATAAATACTATTACATAATTTTTTCTCTTTCAATCAGTTGAAGACCACTTTCAATTCCCTTATAATTATATTTCCATTGCCACAGTTAATTTGAAATTCATGAAAAATGATTACATGACCACATTTAATGATCGTATAATTTTAAATTATTTTAATTTGATTAAGGCTAACTTATAAGGTTTGATATAATCATTTTAGTTAAGGAAAACGGTCATCAAACACACGTCCAATAATAATGTCAGTTTTCTATTTAATCTAACTTTATCGGTATCATGTGTTAACATCAAGCCAATAAATATAGGATATGTGTTGAAATATATATATACACACAACTTAAACTATAATTGCATAATATATATTTTACTCCATCAAATCATTAAATTAAAATAAGTTACATTCCTTGAGTGTATACACCCGATACCAAGAAATATTTACCTTGTATTTCACACCATCTAATTCTAACATGGATGTGGTCCCCAAATTTGTGTTTCTTTCCTATGATTGTTCTCTATATTGAGAGCATCACAAATACTTTATTATCAACTTATTCTATTCATTATGCAAAATTGACAAATCTATTATTCTCCTAAAGTTACCTGTACACCATCAAATTGATAAGTACCAGGGGCAGTCTCTCTTAAAGCATATTTGCGCATAAATTTGGTGCAATCTTTCTCAAGAAAAGGCGAAAGAGTATATATATAGTAGTGATTGGGAAGGTATTCATTCATATTCCTACGATAGACCTGATACTAATGATATTGTGTATAAAAAAAGTCAATATATTGTAAATGCTAACAGATCACAATTAATTCTTTTTGATAAATATGTATATATAATTAAAAGACAGCAAAAACACTAAGATATATTATTTCTAATGAGATTATTTTTAAAACGAAAATTTAGTCAGAAAGAATATAATAGTATATGAAAAGGTGACATTGCTTGCTAAAGATCTCATATATAAAAAAGAGATGTAATAAATTGATTAACTGCAACAAACAAAACACACTAAGAAGAGCAAGCAAAAAAGCGAAAAGAAATACTGTAAATAATAAGATAGATTATTAAACTCGATAACTATGATTAAAACTGCTCGGCACGAATCATCTTCCGTCTCTCCCAAGATAGCTCCGCTCTCTCTTCTTCTTGTCTTTCTCCTCAAGTTTCTCCCCTAATTCATTCTTCTTTCCCTTCAATTTTTCATTATTTTCGTTGTTTTGAGAGAATACTTTTTCATTTCCAAAATATCATCAAGCCGCCTTGTTGATGCCATGATTCTGTATAATGAGCTATGTAGTGGACAAAGAAGAGGTAAGAGACTTAGATTGAAAATATGTAATAAAGGCATCTCCTATTTATATTATACTAACAAACCCAAATTAAATTACAACTAACAAATTCTAATTAAACACAATTAACTAAATAACAAATCCAAAACTAATTAGAGATTCTATAATTAAATTACCATAACTAATAAATCCTAAACTATTAAGGAATCATATTCTTGGGTTATTTCCTAGAAGAAGAAATGTAATTCGGTAATTTCTATTTGGGATTCGGAAATATTATTCCTTTTTTTTATTATTCGCACCATATTTTGTACAAGAAACCTAATCCTAAAAAGAGAAGAATTATAATTCATTAATTTCTGAGTATCCGAAAATATCTCTCTCTTTTTTTTTTTAATTCGCACCATATTCTTTTCTTTTTTATTGATTTTTCTATTATATTATTAACTACAAAACAACTAAAAGCAAAACAGGAATATTGCAAATTAGAGTAATCTCACGTGTTACATGCCTTTATTAATTATTTCCTCGTTCATCTTTACTTGTTCAATATATTAAAAATAAATATATATATATATAAGTAAAATAATATATTATTTTGTGTCAATTTTACTTCTGCTATTAAATACGGTGCATTTTGAATATCTAGATGACTTATAATTAATATGAGTGATATAATAAAATAATCGTTCTATTTCTTGTCTCTTAAGAGGTGTGCTAAGTTAAAGATGGACGAAGTGAGTATAATAGTTTAGAGTATAAGTAGCATTATTTATACAATTTTTTTTAAATCTAAATGAAATATTTGGAATATGTCAAATGTCTTATTTAATTCAGTGTCTTATTTATAAGAGCAATATTGTCTGGATGAGATGTTTGGATTACATCAAATGTCTTACTTACAGATGGTTATAAAAATATATTTTTATGTCGTTGATTATTATTTTTAATTATAAAACAGTAAATAATAATACACATTTTTTCCTCTTTCAATGAGTTGAAGACCACTTTCAATTCCCTAATTGTATTTTCATTTCCACATTGAATTTGAAATTCATAAAAAATGAATACATGATCACATATTTTCAAATTATTTTAATTTGATTAAGGCTAACTCATAAGGTTTGATATAATCATCTTAGACAAGAAAAACATTCATCAAACACACATCCAATAATAATGTCAGGCTTCTATTTGATCTAACTTTATCGATATCATGTGTCAGTTGACAGGGGCCTTGTCGATCGAAGGCTTAGTTCTAAGCCGAGATATACTTGTTTGTTTTCTTGATTGTGTGTGGCTGCCATGCGCTAGTAGCAAATGGTTCAGCAGGGTCGACTCGAGCCTGAGTTTTGACATTAGGAACCAGTTGCGCCCCTCGAGTTTGGGGCGTGACAAAAACCTTACACGGCGTTGAATATACAAAAATAGTGATGAATCTGATGGTTCAGTCGTCTGAGGAAACAAGTTGGTATGATCTTTCTATCGCTGTAGAACTCTTTTTTGGAAAATATTTGGATGTTTAGCTTGAATCACTGTTACCGTATTTAGCGCTCATGTTTCCATTCATTATTTTTAAAAAAAATTATTGTATAAATTTAAAACAAAAAAAACATTTTATACAAAATTAAAGCCTCATAGCAAACTAAACTATATCCATGAAATGTAATCATGTAAACTATACCTATAGAGCGTTATTTCATTAAATTTGTTTGCCATATATGACATTTTTCCTTCTAAAAAGTCATGTTCGGAGAGATAATCAAGACTTCTCATAATTTAGGTATGCATTTAATAAAATATGTCAATTTTAAGAGCGCTTTTAAGAACTATGATTAAAAAAAGAAGCAAATTTTAGGTATAGCAAACACAAAAATTATATTAGCGCTCTATAGCTACATTTTTGCTATTTGCGCTCAATAGCATCTGATTTGTATAAATCGTAGGCATCTGATTCGCAGGCATCTTGTTTGTATAAAATCGCAGCGATTGTATATGTATATTAGTTAGATAATTGTATATATGTAACTACTATATATATGTATCAATGATTGTGTTTGTATATCTACATAAAATTTAAATTTGTATACAATTAAATCGAATTAAAATATTTATATATCAAATCTCTCTCTCGCACGCGTTATTCAAACACAAATTATACATTGTAATTTGTATTATTTGTGTTTGTATAAAGCGAGAAAGACAAAAGAGAACTGGACAGAGGAAGATCTGTATTTGTGTAATTATAAGTGTATAAGACGAAAAAATATGTATTTGTATTTGTATATACAGTTCTCTCTCACTTTATATAAACACAAACACAATTTATACATTTGTGTTTGTATAAAGTGAGAGAGGCGAGCGAGATTCAGGGGAGAGAGGCGAATGACAGTGTATTTGCTACGAATTAGAATTAAATAAAACTGTAACTATAGTATTTATTTTGAATTAATAGTTTGCTATAATGCACAATTTATTTATTTTAATTTTAAAAATGTAGTGTGGCAAAGTTGTGTCAGGAAAACTGAAGAAAGCATACACATCCAGCCAATAATAATGGGAATGGGAAAGCCCAACCTTTCCATGACTACAAGTCTACAACCTTCCACAAAACTGACATGAATAATAGCACATAATGGCCAATTTGCAGTGCTAGTCAAGGCCATTTATTGACTGGAAGGTACCTTTGACCAGTCCTTTTGTCATGCCCTACACATGTAGCTTACAATTTCTTTACTCAGTCTTGCCCATTACTCTTTTATTTTCTTGAAACTGAAATATGGTGTAGTAGAAAACAACACAACATGTGTGCAGAATCAGTAACACAATAGTTCATCTTGACTGCTGCTTTGTCATGTTTTGCCTTCAATCAGCCAATTATTTTTCTGATTCAGTATGAATATGGTATTTGTTACCTCCCACCAACATATATACGAAGATACTATATGCACTAATAAGACTTATGATGAGAAGAGATCTTTATCTCTGTTGCAATTTGAACTATAATCTTTTTATGATTTTCATACCACTTGTGTATGTACAAAACTCAATAAACACAGTGGCTTTTGGGACAGTTCATCTTCACTGCCTTTGTAAATATTAGATATATCACTGACTCCTCTAATTTTCATACCACTTTATTGATAGCTAAGTCACATTCTTGCGCGCTTAGATCAGAGTGCTAAATTTAAACGATACATTTCAAACAAAAAAAGTACATTGTGTTGTGAAAAGTTGGATCAATGTGAGAATTCCAAAGGAAAGAGAGTAGAAAGGAAATGACTTAAATTGCATTCATCAATGAATCAATAATGTTACAATCAGCTCATCAACTTAGTATTATATAAGAAGATATAGTATGAAACAACAACATAATCATACTATTCAAGATTGACAAAGACACATGATGAGTAGCTAGCTATTTAGGATCAGTTGATTGGTTCTTGTTACCAGCCAAAGCAAGGATGGAATTAGCAAGTTTATTGATAGAATCAACAAGTCCATTAATGCCTTCTTTATTGATCTCAGCCTTTGACTCCTCAATTTGTAGCCTTCTCTGATGCAAGCTTAAGAGTTCTTTGTGCCTTCTATCTCCTCTTTCTTCACAAGACTGAATTGCTTCTGCTATAATAGCAGCACTCTTGGAGATAGCAGAGCCAACTTCTTGTGATGAATTGTTAATGTTACATTTTGATGTGCCACTAGTTCCTTCACCTCCTCCTCTCATTCTTCTTTTCTTTGCCGGTGAATCTGAACGCTCACTGCTATGATCAGGATCTGAGCTATCACACATCTCCAAAACATAAACAGATGGAGTATATCATAAAGGATTTTTCATTAATACTAAATGCTCATAAAATATCACTAGCTATAACAAAATTGAGTGAATGAAAAAGTTTAAACTGTCAAATGTCAATGTCTTTCTAGATTGATGTGTTAGATTGAAATAAATGCAAATAAGATTCATTTTGAACCATATAATAATCTCGGGATAAAATCTAGGATTAACTTTGTCTCATGTTTGATTTGAGTTATAAGCTCATCCCACAATTTGTACAAAAATGGTGAGATTATTATCCCATAGAATGTGGGATAGAATAATCTCAACGACTCATGGTATATCCTTGCTTATCTAAACCCGCATACACACCCCTACATATCCTCCCCATTCGTAGCTACCAAAAGGAAAACATACAAAGGAGTCGTTCACTTTTTTCCGGTTTTTTTTCTACTTTATTTGAAAATCAGTGTTTGACATGAAATTCCGATTTCAAAAACAACCCAAATCTGATTTTCACTTTCAAACAATCAAATATTTTATGCAAAAACTATAATCAAACACAACTCATCTTCAACTCCAACTTCAAAAATTCCAAATAAAGTGAAAAAATATTTGATTTCTATGGCCAAATGCCTACTACACACTTAAAGCTGATCACTTGATTAATAAGTATTTCTTTCAGATGAATAAGTATATTATTTCAAGAAACAGAATTAAAAGCTTGCCTTTGAAAAATATTAAGAGTGCAGCATGAAAATATATGTTGCCAAATTAGAAAGAAATAATAGAAAGATTCAAACAATCATGGAAAAACCTAGAAATATATCAAGCAAATTAAATCAAGAATATTCAAAATGCAACACATAAACAAAACAGGACAAAATAACTTTCTCTCAACCAATTATGTCAAGTATTAAGCTTTTCCAAAGTAGACTTAATATCCAAGTGGAGGTTCTCACTAAAAGCAAATGAGAGTGAACTTTAAAATAGTACTAGCTACTAGTTAAGTATTTGATCATTCACAGTGTTAAATTTAAAAAAAAGTAGGAGATAAGAGTACCTACTGTGGTAAAAGGAACATTAGTAGTATAATCTGTTTGTGTTACTGTTGTTGTAATTGGTAGAAGTGGCAAAGGAGTAGATTGTTGTTGCAATGTGGGAGGTAAAGAAGGCAACAACACTATTTGGCTTTTTTTGTCCATAACTTCAACTAATGCCTCATAAATCTCAGGCAACATATTAGTAGGCAAATTCTTTTCTTTCCTTTCATTCTTCTCAATCTTCCAATAAGATCTTATAATTTCTTCTCCACTAGCTTCAACAACTCTTCTTTCATATTCCCTTACTTTCTTGAAATCCCTCATGAGATTATCCCATTTGTCATTACATTGATTTTGGCTCCTCAAACAACCATTTCTCCAACAATAATCCTCTACCCATTTCCATCTTAACTCTGTTGGTTTTCCCTCTTGCCTTCTCATTCTCCTTTCATCATCCATTTTTTTTGCTTCTAATAGAACCATTGTTTCTTTTACTGTCCAATTCCCTTTTCTATAGTCCCTAAACATGTTACTACTACTCCCTCCTTGATCACTCACCAACCTATCCATGCAAAATAACAATAAAGAACCCAACTTTATGCAAAAACAAGAAAAAGGGTGTTCTTTTCTTGGCTTGTTTTGCAAAGGCAAGGCAAAAATAGCAAGAAAAAAAAAACACCTATAGTATGGACTTTTGGGGTTTATTTGTGGTTTTGAAATTTGAAAATGGAAATTATGAGAAACGTGTAGAAATAATCACCATATAGTATCTTTCCCTCAAAATCTTAAAAAATAAATTTTGAAAAGCTTAAAGTTGAAATCAAAGACTATTCATCCATTATATACCCAAAAAGATGTAGAAAACTGGAGAGGGGTTTAAGTTATGGCCAAAGGAAGAAATAGAGAGGAGTAGAACAGAACTACTACTAAGCAATGAAGAAATTAATAGTTCCACTATAAGAAAAGGCCAAATAGAAATCATTCAAACTGACATATCCACTGCACCCCAAAAAAAAAATCACACAACGAGAGAGAAGTGTACTGTAGAGTGGGGTTTGGTGTGGTTTGCTTGGGTGGGCAGAGGGAAAGAGGATTACAAGGGGGTATTGTTTCACTATTAGTAAAAATAATGGAGTTTTTAGCTAAAATCATCTTTAAACTTTACTTCAAATTTAAACTACATATTTAAAGTATTATTCTTAGCAGAAAACATCCTTCAAGTATTTAAAAGTAAACAATTTTCATCCTTTTTTTTTAATTTATCAGAAAACTAACCGATCTCACAAAAATCAAGTCATTACTTCCTAATTATTGTTTTTAGATACGCCAAAAATATTATCAAGAACTTTTTTGGTAATTGAATTTAGTATTATGCAAAATCTTAATTTGACAGTTTTTTCATTTATTTTTCATGTAATTTGATATTTAAAATATTATTAGTTGAAATATGTTTCTTCTCAAATGAATATGCTAGAAGCGACGTTTGTTGGAGACATCCGCTTCTAATAATGTAGAAAGAACTCAAATGCTAGACATAATCAATATTTTGATCACTTCAATATCAGATTGGCCCAAAAAATTATTGATCTAAATACAGTTTGGCTATGAAAAAGATAAAGATAATTAAACTCCAGCTTCTTTCCATTACTAAATGAGAAAAGAGCAGATCATGTACCCTCACACCTTCCAAACATTTTTTATTTCCATAAGCAATAATTTCTAAGATTTTAAATATTTTTTTCAGGAACTTCTTATAGCAAGTAATGAAATTATGTAAGAAAACTTTCGTTGATAGTCACGTGAACTGCTCATGTTTTTGTAGGATCCCTTAGTTTTTTGACTATATCTAACAGAAGGATGAAAATTGCTCACTTTTAAATACATGAAGGATGTTTTCTGCTAAGAATGACACTTTAAAGACATAGCTTAAGTTTGGGATATAATTGAAGGATGTTTTTGGCCAAAAACTCAAAAATAATATATATAGTAACTCTGTGTATCAGTACTATATGTATAACTCAGAAGACATTGAAAAAGATTGATTTGAATCATCCGTATAGATAATCACCGAGCGTTCTTTGCACCTTCTTGATCATTTGTACAATTGTACTGGGTGTACTACTTATTTTATTCTATTTTATAGTACAACACTGCACTAAATAGAACGAACAAAAAATAACAGATATTTTTATTTTGAGAAAATACATAACATTGATGGTTAAACTTCTGATTATCCTTTTACCCAAACAAGTAATTTTGTTTTTTCTTTTAGAGTAAATACTTCTTTTGGATCAACCAACTGGATCATGGCAGAAGTGGCGGCCCAAAAGGTCCTGGAGGCCCATATATGCCCATTGGGCCCCTAAAACAGTCTTGTAATAGCCAACAACAGCAGAAGAAGCTCAGGCTGAACAATAACAAGAAGTTTAAGCATCGACATTAGTAAATCAATAATATTTTGACTAACTATGAAAATGATAATATATGTCTAATAATCCAACAAAAAAAATGCTAGAAAAATAACTTACGTACCAAAAACATATAACATCACATAAACTATCAAAAAAACCTCCAGGTCTAGGCATCGGAGGTCCTCCAGGACCTGGAGGACGACCCCATCCCAACCATGGTCCTCGTGGTCTCATATAGATTCAGTTAAGGTAAAATTAACCAACCACCAAATTTTTTTAATAGATAACTTTTATTTACTTTCAATTTTGAGTTGGAGCTATATATAGAAATTGAGTTACTACTAAATAAATACTACCTACTATTTATTACACTGCTCTAATCTACCATTCTTCATTCTACTAGTCAAAAAATAAATCCTAACCTAATCTTCATTCTTCTAATTACTATATACGCTTATTCAGTGGAAGCAAATATCTGAACTTTAATGAGATTTTTTAATTTGTTTTTATAGATTATGTAAATAAAACGAAACAAGCAAGTACAATTGACATATATACATATATTAATAATTGAGCTAAAATAAATATTTAGAGATTATTTTGTATGCGAGATATCTCATTATATAGGCGTGAGATAAAATTTATATGGCCAATCAAATAGTTATATCGTATAAATAAGTTATCCGACGCAGTGTTTGACAAAATCTGGAATTAGAAACCCAGTTAAGTCTTCGTCAACTTAGGTCTGAAGCTTGCTCTCCAATGGTGTCCTTGTAAGCAATCAACCCTATTACGTCTCAGTTTATCGTCTTCACTCAATGAATTTTAATGGTTAGATCATCATCTTCTTTTTTTTTTAAAGGTACAACACTGGACTGGAATTGGCAAATTTATTGTTAGGATCAGATCTATTGAATCAGTCATGGGAAGCAATTTCAAAGCTTCAAAAACAGAATCTCACTCTTTTGGAAGACCCATCACTTCCTTTCTCTGTTAAATACCAAATTTATGAAAACCCATCAAAGGGTTCTGTTATCGCTTTTGTATCTTCACCCAATTGTGCTGTCAATCATTTGCAACAAGAGTTTAGAGAGCTGGTTTCTTCAGATCAAATTACGTCCTTCGACTTTCTTCGCACCAGAAGTAATGCTAGTTCCATCTCCATTCATAAAGCTGCTTTTACCCTTTTTTCTTCTCTTGAGAATGAGCTCTCTCTTCTCAAACAACAGGTACAGTGCCTTCAATTGTTGAATTTTGCCCCTTTTTTGATATGGACATTGAGCGTTAGCATATTTGTGTTGTTGTAATTTCATAAATGTATTACTTATGTGTTCCCAAAACGACAAAATTGTTAGTTAATTGGTGTCAAAGATCCTTAATTTTGAGATGTAATCTTGAGTTGATCATTCAAAATGTATGATTTTGTTTGAGGAGGTTAGGAGGAGATAGTTTCATGAGATCAGAAGTGGATGATTAAGTCGTTTGGTATCCCGAGGATTGGGATATCCCACCATATATATGAGATAACTTATCCCATCACAATGGTATAAATGGTGGGATACATAATCTTGGGACTAACTTATACCTCTAACCAACCGCAAAATAAAATAATCCTGCATTTTATCTTAGGATTACCTTATCCTTCGTACCAAATGACTCCCGAGTATTGTGAATTAGATAGGAAATGACAAAAAGTTAGCTCAGTGTTTACTATAGTTAGGATCACTTTTTGAGTCAAGAATTGTACCCATATTCTTTAATTTGTTGGAATACAATATGAGTAATGACAACTCAACAGAAAAGAAATGACAGTTGGGGATGACCAGGGCAGGATGCAAGGATACAATATAAGCATGGGGCCTCTGCTTGCAGAGGGATTGCTAATATCTACATTAGACAACTAAACTAAAGTTTAATTGTCCCTTCTTTATTAGGGAGGATGATTAATAGTAGTAACCAAACACCAGATTAATGGAAGAAAGATACTAATGATTGCTCTCCAGTTTATAATGTGCAAATGAAGTGTAAACTGTCGGCTGGATTATCTCTTATATGTGGAACTGATTTTGGCATTGTGGCTTTGTCTGCTCGATGCAGTTCACCAGCAGCCAACCTCTAATTGTAACTGGACATTCTCTGGGAGGATCAGTTGCATCTCTCTTCACCTTGTGGCTGCTTGAGAGCCTTCCCAGCTATGGTGCGCAGCAAATCCTCTGTATTACTTTTGGGTCACCACTTCTTGGTAACAATGGCTTTCAAAAAGCCATGTCAGAGCATCCGGTGTGGAGCTCTTGCTTCTTGCATGTGGTTTCGGATAAAGATCCAGTTCCAGGATTTCTGATCTCAGACCATAATGCCTCTGCTGCTACCTTGACTACTCCGACCTGGTACATGCCATTTGGTACCTATCTCTTCGGCTCAGAATCAGGTTTCTCTTGCTTCGAGGAACCACAGTCGATTCTGGAGTTGATGATAATGAGCTCAAGATGTGCTGAAAGTGAAAATCTTCATAACCGCTCTCAGGTTATTGATTACGGACATATCTTGGAACAGTTGAAGAACAAAGCCATTTGCAGGGGAATCTCAGAGCTGCCTGACTCAATAAGTAATCCACTTCAAGCAGGTACCTATCTACTGCTAGAAGCAACTGGAGTTGGAAAGTTACAGGTAAATACACTTCCTTGCTACTTGATCAAATTGTGATGTTTTCACTTTGACGGTTCATCTACTGAAACACAAGGTAATTTTGATGAAAGATAAAACTTGAGTCATTCAGGTGCATATACAAGTTGTAAAGTAAGAATTTATGTTGAAGCATTGAAGAACGCATAAGGCTATGTTTGTTGGTGGGGTAGGAAGGCGTAGAACATGAAATTAACTTGAGGCAAAAAATTCTTGGTTAAATGGACTATAACACACAAATACAGCAGAATACTTCTTTCCTTTTCTCTTAATGTTTATTTTTGTCAGCAAATTTCAGATATTTGTTTCTTAACTGCAACAGGAAAATGTTAACTTGAGCTATCTTGCAATGAATATTGCAAAAAGGGCAGAGGTTCAGGCCAAACACAAGCAGAACGTTTTTGATCCCTTCAAAATAAGTGTAACTAAAAAGTCCTTGACTTACCTTGAATATTACATCAAAAACTCTTTGGAAGAGTCAGGGTATTATGACAAATATAAAACCAGACGTTCCAGAAGCAGGGACGAGATTGAAAGCACAGAAAACCTAATCAAGCATCACAGAACTTTGAAGTTCTTCTGGAAAAGAACAGTAACTGAAGTGGAAAATTTGCCCTTGAAGGAGGGGAGAATTCGCCGAAAGCGTTTGCTTTATGCTGCAACAAACTACCGAAGGATGGTTGAACCACTCGACATAGCTGAGTATTATGGTAGGGGAAAGAAAGATTATGTACTTCACGGAAGATCTGAACATTATAAACTACTGGAGAAATGGTTAGCTGGTGAAAATACTCAAACATACCAGAGAAGCCAAGCCTCTAGTCTAACAGTTGATTCTTGCTTCTGGGCTTATGTTGAGGAAGCTGTGATCTCTTGTCAAGTGTTGAAAGGTAGCCCACAAGACCAACAATCAGCTAGAGGAAACCTGATCAAATTTGAGCAGTATGTAATGGACATGATTAATAACTTCTTGGTGTCTCGTGAGATTTTCTTGCCTCAAAGCAGCTTCATGCTGTGGTGGAATGAATATTCCAAAGTTGTAGGAAATTCATATACCTCACCCTTGACTAATTTTATGAACGATGGAGTTCGTAGTTATGCTTAGCAAATTGTATCTGTATAAGGGAATGTAATTTATAACTTATATGCCCGACTTAAAACTACTTTACCATTAGTTCTCTGTAATGTAACCTGTAAATAATTTGAGTTGCCAAGCATGATTAACTGCGCAATACAGTAAAATTACAGGGGGATTTGGTTTTCTTCCTTCTGTTTATTGACAAAGCTTTCTTATAGCTATTGATTGATTTGAGCTAACAAATCCGAATTAGACAAATCTCTTTATACAGATCAAAATTAGCAGTTTTTACCTTTAATGCTACGTTTATTACATGATTTACCTATTCGTTTTTTTTTTCAGTACTTAACAAGCATTTTGGAGCTCATCTATGAATTCCTATTTCACTGAGGGACAAAGAAATAAGCTTGAAATTACAGTCTACGTACTTAATGGTTAATATTAACACGTCTTAAAGAAATTCTCATTCAAATACACAGCTGCCAGCACAAGTAATTGGAGTGGTGGTAAGTACTCTATTCTTATCGAGAGGTTTCAAGTTCAAGCTCAGAATTGAGTCGCATTTTACTTCCAAGTTGGACTTTCCAAAGTGAATCAAGATTTAGTTAAACCACAAAGTAGGTAAGGTACTGGACACCGGATGGGAAACCCAGAAAGAAAAAAAAGGGCAGCAGAATGTTCAAATTTTTTACAAAGAGATGAAATGAAGCCCAAAATTGAGACGTAATTCCATAAATGGTCGATGTCTCTAAGATGGTACTGCATTTTAACTTATGCCTACATATTTCATAGTAAATAATTTTACAGAAGCGCAATTACACTCGCTTTTAAGTTTGGAAATTTTACAGGATTTGGCTTTTGAATGCAATATCACGACCCCTGTATTTGCCGCAGCCTAGAAATTGTTAGATCTGCACCACCAAATCCATCCATTATTGCTTTAGCTCCGGGAAACTCAGCTCTGGCCGTTGAACTTTCACACACACAAAAAAGATACTATTATTCAGAAAAGATGTCCAGCAATGTTTAACTAATAAGTAAAGAAAATTATTAGAAGGTAAAACTAGCTAACACACTAATTTAGCAGGATGGATGTGGTACTAGTCTTATTGTGGAATCAAGTGACACATATTCTCACCCACATATAACATAGGATTTATATAGCCCATCCAACTAATTTAGGATAGAGTATAGCTAATTGATTGATATATGCCTATTGTTAAAGACAAAAAGTATTTATATTGCATTCAAGAAATTGGTATTTAAGCTTGGTTTTGAAAAACCAACCTGCTCCGGACCACAACGCAAGGCATGCCAATTCGCTCTGCTCCAGCAACACCAGATAGACTTCCGGAAACAAGCACACAATTGTGCACAGGTACATCGGCATATTCTGCCCCAGCCCTCAGTGCAGCCACAACATTCTGCAATCTATATTAGAAGAAAATAATGTATTAGACCACATTTAGATAGTTGAGCAGCAGACCTACGGTGTGCCAAATTGCACTATGCACTCAATACAAATATGCATGAATTTCAGATAGCCCCAAATGCTTCTGAATATTTTGTCTTCAACTACAAATCAAAGCTCCAAAAGTGAGCTATATGATCCAGTATGTAGCATGGACTCTTACTGCTCCTTTGACATACTGCTGTCCAGCATGTACGATATTGGTATATGGCTATTTCACAACATACTCTTCAGTATACACTGAACGTTCAAAGTCACTGTATGAATCCATAATAATATCTAGTATGTGCATCCAATTCCGTGTAGCACCAATGACATTGATTCAGCAGTTTTTCCTAAGATTCAAAGATCTCTGTAACAAATAGAAAAATCACCTACTAGTTTGATCAATATGAATTCAAGTAACAAGGAATTCATTCAAACATGGCCATGCCAAATAAGTGTAATGATTGAACGATTTTTCATGGATCCTTCAAAATACATGGAAAAAACTTGCATAAAATTGATCTTACTTCTACCAGATAAAAACCTTCAGCCAATATTTTATACCTTTGTGCATGTAACATGGTCTGAAATAGCACAAATGAGATCAATAAGAAGCTAATCTGTTTGCTATGATCCACCAGAAATGGGAAGCAGTTTATTTTTGGACCAGAGTCCCCCCCCCCCCCACCCCCCCTTTTTCTTTGACAAGTCTCATTGGACGACAATTAATTCACAGCAAATAATTTTTCTTTTTTCCTTGGGCATATCTCAAAGTACTACTAGATATATGAAATCTCCAGCTCCAAAGCATGTGGGAAACAACATGTTATTGTGGACCATTTGACGAATACTGCAAGCATCAAGGCATTAGACACCAGAAGACTCCTCAGCTAAATGGTTTGGCTAAGAGGATGAACAGGACCTTGATGGAAAGAGTTAGATGTTTGCTTTCTGAAGCAAAATTGCCGAGCTCATTTTGGGGTGAGGCTTTATTGACTGCTGCACATGTTATTAATCTATCTCCTGTTGTTGCTTTGCAAAGTGATGTACCAAATAGTGTTTGGTATGGAAAGGATGTTTCCTATGACCATTTGAGAGTATTTGGTTGCAAAGCTTTTGTACATGTGCCGAAAGATGAGAGGTCAAAGTTAGATGCCAAGACAAGGCATCTTTGTTGGATATGGTCTTGATGAATTTGGTTATAGGCTATATGATCCAATTGAGAAGAAACTTGTGAGAAGCCGTGATATTATTTTCATGGAGAATCAAACAATTGAAGATATTGACAAAGCGGAGAAGCTAGAATCTTCAAGTTTTGATGCTATAATTCATCTGGAAGAAGTTCCTCACACAAGTATGCATGATGTTGTTGGGTTTGATGATCACGGTGACGCCCATAATCATGTATCGAATTAACATGTTGATGTTGATAATAACAATGATATTGTTATTGATGATCCTCCTGCTCATGAAGTTGTGGACGAATCAAATATTCCGCTCAGGAGGTCCACAAGGCAGCGGGTTCCTTCCTCTCGTTATTCACCCAATGAGTATGTATTACTCATTGATGGGGGATAACCTGAATGTTATGAGGAGGCCATAGAAGATGAGCACAAGGATCAATGGATTGAAGCCATGCAAGATGAGATGAAGTCTCTGCATGAGAACTACACTTATGAGTTGGTAAAATTGCCCAAGGGCATGAGAGCTTTGAAGAATAAGTGAGTGTTCAAAGTTAAAGTTGATGAACACAACTTGAAGCCAAGGTACAAAGCTAGATTGGTTGTTAAGGGATTTGGTCAAAGAAAGGGTATTGACTTTGACGAAATATTTTCTCCTGTTGTGAAAATGTCCTCGATTCGTACAGTTCTGGGTTTGGCTGCTAGTCTTAATTTAGAGATTGAGCAGATGGATGTGAAGACGGCTTTCCTTCACGGTGACCTAGAAGAAGAAATTTATATGGAACAACCTGAGGGCTTCAAAGTAGAAGGTAAAGAAAATGTTGTGTGCAAACTCAAAAAGAGTCTTTATGGCCTAAAGCAAGCTCCTAGACAGTGGTACAAGAAATTTGAATCTGTTATGGGGGAGCAAGGCTATAAGAAGACTTCTTCAGATCATTGTGTATTTGTACAAAAATTTTCAGACAATGATTTTATCATCCTCTTGTTGTATGTGGATGATATGTTGATTGTGGGCAAGAATACTTCCAAGATTGACGAGTTGAAGAAAGAGTTGCGTGAGTCTTTTGCTATGAAAGACTTGGGTCATGCCAAGCGAATTTTGGGCATGAGAATTACTCGTCTCAGAGATGAAAGGAAGATTTATTTGTCACAAAAGAAGTACATTGAACGTGTACTAGAGCGCTTCAATATGAAGAATGCTAAGCCTGTTAGTACACCTCTTGCTGGTCATATGAAGTTGAGCAAGAAGATGTGTCCTACAGTTAGGGAGGAAAAAGAGAGAATGGCCAAAGTTCCATATTCCTTTGTTGTCGGAAGTCTAATGTATGCAATGGTATGCACTAGACCTGATATTGCTCACGCAGTTGGTGTTGTCAGCATATTCCTCGACAATCCGAGAAAAGAGCATTGGGAAGCTGTGAAGTGGATACTCAGGTATCTTAGAGGAAGCTTAGATGAATGCTTGTGTTTTGGAGCAGCAGATCCAATCTTGAAGGGCTATACAGATGTTGATATGGCAGGTGACCTTGACAACAGAAAATCCACTACTGGATATTTGTTTACTTTTTCAGGGGGAGCTATATCATGGCAGTCGAAGTTACAGAAGTGTGTTGCACTATCTACAACTAAAGTTGAGTATATTGCGGCTACTGAAGTCGGCAAGGAGATGATATGGCTAAAGTGATTTCTTCAAGAACTTGAATTGCAACAGATGGAGTATGTTGTCTATTGTGACAGTCAGAGTGCAATAGACTTGAGCAAGAACTCCATGTACCATGCAAGAACAAAACACATCGACGTCAGATATCATTGGATTCGTGAGGAAGTGGAGAGTGAATCAATTCACGTCATAAAGATCCACACAAGTGAAAATCCTGCAGATATGATGACCAAGACGATACCGAAAGACTTGAGTTATGCAAAGAACTTGTGGGTATGTGCTCCCTCTAAAGAATATGAAGATACCTCCTTCTAGTGAATGGGACTGGAGAGGGAGATTTGTGGGGTCCAGTCCCACATTCCATTTTTTACTTCAACAATTGCTGCATGCAATTGTCAATTGTTGGCAAATTGCAATAGCAGCAAATGTTGAGAAATTATAAACTTTCGGTGGCACAACTTTGACATATAGTGTATGGTGTTGAAATTTGTTGCTGCAAATTTCTTCTATAAAAGGAGCTTATTAGCTCATTTGACACACCAATTCACAGAGAAAGAAAAATATAGATAGCTGTGAGCTTTCTATAGACTATATAAGAAAAATAGTCTGTGAAGAAAAATAGAGTGTGAGCGATATTTTAGTAAGGTGGAAATCAAAAGAGTGTTATTCCTTTTGAGTGTGTAGTAGTCACTTTGAATATTGTATTTGTGGCTACACGGTGTAAAATTCCTTACTATAGTGATATCAGTTGCTCCTCTTAGCCCGTGGTTTTTTCCTTATTTAGAAGGGTTTCCACGTAAAATTCT